CAATGTTGTCCATAGCTTGTCATGATCCACACAATCGAAAGCCTTTGCGTAGTCAATAAAGCATAGGTAAACATCTTCTGATATTCTCTGCTTTCAGCCAAGATCCACCGGACATCAGCAATGATAGCTCTCATTCCCCGGCCTCTTCTGAACACAGCTTGAACCTCTGGAAGTTCTCTGTCAATGTACTCACTCTGTTCCAAACGTGGGGCTAAAGGCTCTGTGTGTGTTTTGTCTTTTGAGGGGCAAAGAGAGGAGAAGGAAAACTCAAGACTAACATAAGGTTGGAATCGTGATGTGGTGGCACTGTGGGTTGAAGTGCTGGACCTCAAGGTTGGTTTGAACCGCAAGGTCGGCGGTTCAAACTCACCAGCTGCTACTTGGAAACCCTATACCGAATCGCTATGAGTCGGAACCGACCCTAGAGCACGAGAACACCACCAAGAACAACCATAAAGTTCTAAATAATAATAATAAATCCAGCCTTTAACCATGTGCGGTTTTAGAGACCCATTTCTCTGAGGTTCGGGGTATTATTGCAGCTCTTTTTGGTCCCTTCCACCCACGGTTGTCTAATCTCTCTTCAGACACTCAGGAAAGCCTGTGTCCTCCCCAACCCCGACTGCCTGTTTGTTAAAACAAACACGTTCTGGGCCCGTGTTAGATACAGTAAGCCCAGTGTCAAAATTAAACTGCAGGTTAAAAATGTATTCCACTAAATTAGACGACATTTAGCTAAACAAATAACAGGACTACAAAGGGGTACTTGCAATATAATGCAGTTTAGAGTGTATGGTCAAAAACATTTCTTTCACTTTTTTTTTTTTTTTTTAAACAAACCCAAATGAGACTGTAAATGGGTAGCTCCATCTAAGAATTGCATTCATAAACTTCTCAGAATGTGAATTTTCACCACCATGTGAGGACGCTAAGGTAAAAGGTGCCTGGCAGTTATCTTGGGTGCAGGCTGTGGGTGCAGCCCGGAGATATGCTAATACGGCCGTTTGCCGCAGGCTCAGGGTTATTTATATAGCGCAGGCGGTGCTGCTGGGGCCCGAGCCGGGAAGGGAAGGGCTGGAGGTTTGTCTAGAATAGACAGATATGTGCGCCTGTGCATTCGGCGTTTGAAACGTGAATTCAAGATCAAAGCAGGGTGGGGGGTGCCGTACCACTCAGGTTTATAAGGTCACCTGTGCCTCAGATACGTCCTTCTCGCATCACTCTTGGGGAGCATCTATTTTTGGACTAGGGTAAGAACCGGTGATTTCGGAGTGGATGCTGCGGACAGTCGCGGGTGCCCGGACGCTGCAGCTGACCGGCGACCTGAAATTGGCAGCTGTTTCTCTCTGACCCGCTGGGCTGAATGGAGCCGCTCGCAGCGGACGCAAAATAAACCTTGTCCCGGCCTGGAAGAAGCGCGTGCCGGTGGCCCCTGAAGACCGACGACCCCTGGGGTGGTCAGAGAGGGCAGCGGGGCCCTGGAGGGAGCAGAGGCCGCGAAGACCCGGCACACGCGGGGGGGAGGGGAAAGTTGGGGGCGCTGCTGCAGGAGCCCCAACACCGAGACAAACCGATCGGCTCGCACCTCGCGCCCCTCGACTCCGCCGGCACCCCGCCCCCAGAGCCCCGGCCTCGGCGAGCCTCCCCTCTTCCCAGCCCCGCCCAGAGCCAGGTGACAGGGAGGGGATCCTCGGGTCAGGCGACCCGAGTGTCCCGTTCCACACCCCAGGGCCAGCGTCCTGCCGGAGGGGGCGCTGGCGTGCAGGAGCGGCGAGCAGGTGCCGCGCTTACCTCGGCAGCCGCGGCGGGGGCGGGTCCGGCGGGGGCGGAGAGGACAAGGGCGGGCGCCGGCTCCGCGGCCCCAGAGAGCTCCCGGCTTCTGGGAGGCGCCGAAGTCCGATAAATACATCCCGGGCCGGGACGACGCAGGAATTCACCGCGGCCGCCGTGCCCGCGCCTAGCAGCCCCAGGCACCGGCTCCTCCTCCGCCACTGCGCGCCGCCGCCGCCGCCTGTCCAGAGAGCCGGGAACCAGGAGCCTGGAGCCGAGGGACGGCCGCCAGAGCCCATGAGCGGCGGCGGCTGAGGGGCCCGGGCGGCCTCTGCGCGCCCTAGCCGCCGGGCGCCGAGCGGGGCCGGCCCGGGGAGCGGAGAGAGGGCTCGAGTTGGGGCGCGGGTGGAATGGGGACGGCCTGACGCAGCGGGCCAGCCGCGGAGGTCGGCGCCTTCTCCTGCTCGGCCGCCGGCTGTGGTTACGGACGCGCCCGGCGCTGCGCTCTACCCAGATCGCTGCCGCCCTCTATGCGCCCCTGTGAGAGCCGCGGGCGCGGGCCATGGCGATAGACCGGCGACGTGAGGCAGCGGGCGGCGGGCCCGGGAGGCACCAGCCCCCAGCGGAAGAGAACGGCTCCTTGCCGCCGGGGGAGGCGGCGGCCTCGGCGCCCCTCGGGGGACGTGGCGGCCCCGGCGACGGGGAGATCCAGTCGCTGCCCCCATTGCCCGCGGCCTCGGCCGCAGGCGTCCCGCACTCCGGCTGCTGCGCGTCGGCGTCGGCGCCCAGCGTCCTGTTGCTGGACTACGACGGGTCGGTGCTGCCCTTCCTTGGGGGACTGGGCGGAGGCTACCAGAGGACCCTTGTGCTGCTCACCTGGATTCCGGCGCTGTTCATCGGCTTCAGTCAGTTCTCGGACTCCTTCCTCCTGGACCAGCCGAACTTCTGGTGTCGCGGGGCAGGCAAAGGGGCCGCTGCCACGGACCGTTGGGGCGCCGGGGACCTGGGCAACTGGAGCAGCCCCTCGGCCACCCCCTTCTCCACTGCTGCCTGGGGGCCCGCAAGCAACCGCAGCAATAGCAGCGCTGCCGCAGGGGGCGACACGCCACCCCTGCCATCCCCTCCGGACAAGGGGGACAACGCCTCCAATTGCGACTGCCACGCATGGGACTACGGCATCCGCACCGGCCTGGTCCAGAATGTGGTCAGCAAGGTAAGGACTGCGTTTCCTGGGCCCGCGGCTTCCTCCCGAGCTTTACCCTCCTCTGGCAATGGACACCCCCCCCCCCCAAACACACACACACACAACGCATGTGGATCTAGATGCCTCTACCGTTCGTGCAATCCCAGGTCCAAGCCTGAGTCACCCAGAACATGACGGGGTCCAAGTCCCCAAAGTGAATGTAGTCTGTGTGTCCATGTATCCCATACCTAGTTCTCCTGTCACCTTCCCCCCAAATCAAGGTCCATGTGTTTGGGTGTGAAGCAAGCGCTTCCTGCCTTCCTTAGCCGCTTCCTGCCGCCCTTCACGGTGGCTCTGCACCTGGGCCTCAAAGGGCACCTTTCTATGCATTTCCCTCTGGTCCTAGTGTACATATGGAAAGACAGCCTCCAAGGTCTGCCCTGCTTGCCTGAGCCAGAACCGAGCTCTGACCTGCCTGTCTTGCCACCCCTGAGTTTCCCACAAAGAAATGCCCATTCACTAGAAGAGTGCCTTATCCCCAGATGTCTCTTTATTTGTCTGATGTCTCCCTCCTTGTCTGCTTTAGAAGGGGACTCAAGCACCTGGCTATAGCCAGAGAATCAGAGCGTCTTTGAAAGTCACTTCCCATAGCCAAGTTAATTTCTCTCCAAAGACTAGCCTATTTATTTGGCTCTTGACTTTGCCCCTCAGTGTTCCTAACAGTGTTGGAAGGCCTTTCCAATATGTCAGTTTGGTGTTCCGAGGGCCCTCCTGCTTTTATAAAGCAGTTAATTTTGTCTGGGGTAGACAACCCAGCAAGCTTCATTTGGACATCCAACTTTCTAAAACCTGTGTGACCCTTTGGTGGAGGGACTGCCACTGTGTGTGGCACTTAGCAGTGTTCTATGGGGGCAGAAAAACGGGGTGGGGGTGGGGGCGAAGGAAGGGAGGACAGAGTTAGAAAACCAACACTAACACGAGTGTTATTGTTTAGTGCTAACACTTAATCAAGAGCTTCCCTCCTCCAAACTGAACCAAACCTACGGTTGCCCATCAATTCCGCAATATGAGAGGTTTTATACCAGCCAAGCAATTTGTGGGTTTTGTTTCCCTTGTGTTTTATAATGTTTAACATAGATTTAAAGTATATTAGAATTTTTTTTCCTATTTGGGAAGTTCTGGGAAGACTTTTAAATGCTTTGCTTAAACGCGAGAAGGATATTTGATAGTTTACAATAGCCAATGTGCATGTATTAGTCCCCTAAAATGTGTGTTAGTAAATAAGTGTATTTCATGTGTGAGTAAGATGAAACTCTTACATCATCATCATCATTGCTATTGTTTTAATCTTGTACCAACCTGGCAAAAAAAAAAAAAAAAAGATCTCTCCTGTGGGAACTGCTTGTATTAACTGTCCCTGCTGCCTTCAAGTTAATGGGCAAGATCATTTCAGTTTGGTACACCTTTATTTAACCCTTTCCTGTCTCAGCCTCTCCTTTCCAAAGGTGTTTCTGGGACTTCTTCCTATCAAATAGCGACTTATATTCCTTGTTGTTTTCCTTAACCAGCATAGAAACTTTAAGAACAATGACTCCAGTGACTTATTCTTTTCATGTATCTCTGTCAAACTCGGAATTCAGCAACAGTTTCAAATACTTTAAGTCCCTTTTTAGAGTAAAGATGTTAAGTAATGGAGTGTGTGTATTGGGTAGTCTGTCTTGAAGTCAAAGGAGAGGAGAATTTGAAAGGTAGGAACCTGGAAAGATATAGTGAGAGAACTAAAGAGTTCCTGATAACTTTGGAAGTTTATTTATTGATAAGAAAATTTGGATAGGGTTTCTAAATTAACAGTTGAGAGGGTCAGAGATAGCCCTTATGTATGCAGCCTGTTTTTTGGGATGTTTTGATGGACATGACATAGCTACACATGGTTTACAGGGCAAGACTGGGAGGTGAAGATCTTGGAACAACAGTTAAAGACCTTGTTTCTCACTAGATAAAGACTAGAAAAGACACTGATTTTCATGGACAAATAAGATCTAAATAAAGGACTGTCCTACAGTATTTCATTTCCTACCAAATGTCCTACAGCCGGTTGGAAGTGCGTACAAGGATACTCTATTAGATGAACGAATATGGAATGTATAATGTGATCCATGCAGGCATTCTAAGGGGCAAGGCCTGTCAACTTTGTCTGTAAAGTAGAAACAGATGTCAAACGTTTCCCCCATTGGCAGTATATGAAAGTTCAGGGTTTCAGAAATTGACTTTTGTATTCTCTTACCTTGGAGCCCTGGTGTGGCTTGGTAGAATAAGCATTCAACCATAAGGTTGGTTTGAACTCCAAGGTTGATGGTTCAAACTCACTAGCCGCTGGTTTCCTCCGAAACCCCATACAGGGTCTCTATGAGTTGGACTGACTCGATTGCACTTAACAACAACCTTGCTCCATACCACACACCCTACCCTTCCTGCTGCAAAACATCCTAATGCATTGTCTTTGTCATTATAACTCCTTCAGGATATACCATGGACATGCTAAGGCATGTCCTTGTTCTGTGCCTAGATTGCTGGATGGGGTTGGTGGACCGAAGAGCTGCCAGACACAATTCTTGCCCCTTCCTCATTATAACAGCACCTACACGTACAAAACCTCCAAGCCCGTTGGAATCCAGGTTGTTAAAGCGAAGGAAGGCATCTTAGGGCTCACAAGCCTCCATGGCTTTCTGAGTAATACCTCTGGCATGTTGTTTATCTGCCCCTAGGATGAAGACTTCCACCCAGGGGCAAAGGAATCGCTCTGCTGGGTAACTGACTACATTGTGGTTCTTCCTTGCAGAAAGGTGTATTTTGGGGTGACTGCAACGCAGGCTGTTTCATGCCTCTTTGTGCAGTTCACGCCTCAAAAGGATTCTTTCCCTTCACTAGTATGTTTTCAGATATTTGTGGATAGCAAAGTAGTTTCCTTCCTGGGTAAAAAAGAAAAAAAAAAAAAATGTAGCTACTCTATCCATTCCATACTTGACAAAATTTACCATTAACTGATTGCTCCATTTGGCATTTGTGTCACTTAGATGTGGCACCCAGAAGGTAGGCAGACCTTTTGTGGTCCAACCAATGGCGAGGACAAATAGGCTCTGTACTTCCATTAGTGATGCCTACTTAGGCCTTGGGTTCAAAGCCACCTGCCATTCCTCAGGAGAAAGATGAGGCTGTCTCCCATAAAGATTGACAGCCTCGGAAACTCTACACAGGGTCTCTACAAATCCAAATCGACTTGAATGACAGTGATTTGGGGTTCTAGGAGATGCAACATGCTTCCGACTCACCTTGAGATCATAGTCACCCACACCCACTACATCCCTTTGGTATTATTACTCTTAATCCTTGAGTCTCTCAGTTAGCACTTGCGTAGTGTGTCTCACAATTTAGGTTTCATTGTAATAGTTTGGGGTTATTAGAGCTCTTCTGTTAGGATCTTGATTTATTTATTTTGGCTTTGGTCATTGGTATTTTTTCTCTCATCCAGAATTTGTACCATTGCCAAATGCAGTACCTTCAGGCCTTTCTCTTTACAGACCTTCGTAGTCTTCAAAACATTCCACATCTATTATTTCTTTCGATTGAGGATGCGGAGTAATGCCAGGTCAGTCTTACTCCTGAGGGATCAGTATTTGAGTTGGTTCAGAGACCTTTGAAATGGGCATAGAAGCCAGGTGTTCAGCTTCCAAATGACTTTCTTAGGTCTGCATTTTACCTCCAAGCTATGTTGATAGATATTGTCAGTGTCTTCCTGAAAAAAAAAAAAAAAAAAAAATTCCTTCACAGAGTCACACAGAGAACAGCTCTGGGGCAGATGGGGTGGTGGCACGAGGCAGGAGCCCTGCTCACTGGATTTCCTCCATGTACCAGATTCCCTGCCCAGCCCAGATTTCTCCAAGACTTGAAATTTTGCTAAACCTAGTCCAAAAAGCAACTCCAGAGATCTAAATGCATTTCTCATAAAAACTTGCTTACTGAGCCCCCCTGCCTTATTGTGAGCGAATCTTTGTTGGATCTTCATACTTACTACTTTGAATCATCCCCAGAATTTTGCCAGTTATCATTGTGAGATAAAATTACCAATTCCATCTCTCTCCCATACTTCAAGGTTGGAGTACTTGTTATCTCCAGTCTCTTGATATTTCACCTCTTGTCCATGAATTCTCAGAGATTGCTGACTTTTATACAGTATGTATAACGGACAGTTGTTTGTATTTTTTTAAACTTATCCTGAGAAAGTAATGTGTTGTCTTTACCTGGAACTCAAGACTAGAAGCTATTGAAAGTGACTCAGTACAGTTTAATTAGGATTAAAAATAATTGCAGTATCACTGCAATTAACAACATGAAAAAAATCCCCCATGCTTTTATTATCCTAACTGAACTTAAAGGAGCCCTGGTATGGTGCTGTGTAGGAAGTTCTGAACTGTTAACCACAATGTTGCCAGGTCAAACCCACTGGCCATTCCAAGTGGGGAAGAGGAGACTTTCTGCTCCCCATACAGGGCTGCTGTGAGTTTGAGTTGACTTTATGGTATTAATCTCATCTGAGAACTACTTTTTACCATTGAGGTGCTTTTCATGTATATTTTATACTTTTAAATAAAATTTTTTACGTATTTTATACTTTCAGAATACACCTTTAATGGAATCTGAAATTTCTCTTGACACCATATAAAAAAATTTGTACAAGTCTTCAGAAATATTTTTAATGATTGTATGATTATCTAACTTGCTGATTTACCAAAATTTCTTAAATTCTTTTCCTAACACTAAACTGGTGGGGTGGTGTGGGTTAATGCACTGGTTAGCAAGGTCAGTTTGAACTCCAAGGTCAGTGGTTCAAGCTCACTATCCACTCTTAGGAAACCCTGTACAGGGTCCCTGTGGGTCAGAACCGACTCAACAGCACTTAACAACAACAACACTAGACTACCATTATGCTATCCTGTTGTTGTTGTTAAGTACCAACAACTTGGTTGTGAGGG